TGTTAAGATGTATTTGAGAGCTGGGAACCCCCTGGCTAGCAGTGAGCTGGAACAAATCAAGGACAGGAGGATGGACACGCTCCACAAAGAGCAGGGTTTGCTCTGTGTTAACAGCATGCCAAGAGGGAGACCGTGCTGGGGTGCAGAAAGACCCGAAGGAACAGAGCGAAGCAGATTGGTCAGATGGCTGTGGGGTGACATCCCAGGCCTGTCTTCTGCAAGAACACAGTTGGAATTGCTTCGTTTTAGGAGCAGCCTCTCCAGAGCAATAAGCAGCTTGGTATGGAGACATCCTAGAGCCCAAAGAGAGGATCTGTGGCATTTAAAAGAATAATGAGCCAAAGGACTGCTGGAGCAGTGAGCTGGCAGTCATGTGCTGGTCATCTGCTTGCCTCAGCGTTGGAGGGAAATAAGAAGTATGGTTGGGATAATCAGAAGCATGGAGGAATCTCCTTTGAAGAGAGATGAAAGTGAATGGGGTGTGATAAAGCTGAGTAAGAGGTAATTTCACAGACGTATATCAAAGGAGGAGTATGCTAGACAAAGCTGAGCAATAATCGCCATTCTTCCTAACCCCCAGTGTGTCTCCCCATGACATGAACAAGAGGGGAGGCAGATCCTATGAAAAGATTATCGTCATCATCTTCACTTAAACTGTGTTTTATTGTGGGAATCATCGTCCCAGGAAGTAATTTAGTTTCAACAGTTTGGAAAGTGAATTGACGCGTATAATTACTGAGCGCTACCGTCAGCTATGACAGCAACCCGGGAAAGAGAATTAAACCTAGTGATTCAGAGCTTAAATTAATCCTCAGGTTCTGAAAGGTCAATGAATCAGGGTGTGTATGAGGTCAGTTTGCTGCTCCCTGCTCCCTACAGGGGCTGTGGGGCCTTGGAATGGTGATGGACACCAGGGCTGGTATGGCTGGGCACCTCCGTGCTCTTGTTGGAGAGCAGCAGTCCCCTCCCAGCACAAACCAGCACACTCCTGTCCCTTTCATTGCCTTGATCTCCTCGTGGGACAGCTCTGGCCTCCATCCCACAGCTCCCATCTCTTCTCGCTTCCCATGACTTCTTCCCAACCGGTTCCCATCTAATGGGTGAGCACTTCTTGTTCATTTTTAGCCACGTTGATGGCACCATCAGTAGAAATGTCTGTGCTAGAAAGATGCCTTCTGCTGCTTTGTAAATATTTGTATGGAGAGCATACCTCCTCGTGGAAGGCTGCGTAAAGCAGTCATGGTTCCATAAACACAGCTTGGGGCAGACCTCTGAGCACACGTCATGGCCATGGGGGCAGAGCCTGCAGGTCAGCAGAGCCATCAAAGCTCGGGACCTGAGTGGGTTGCTGGTGCTGCTGGTGGTTTGCATGAAGAGAGAAGCCAGGACAGTAAGTCCAAGTGCTGGACTCCATGCTCAAGTTGTTGCTTGCAAGGGTTTCTCTCCTTCACTGCATCATTCACACCACGTTCTGCTCTTGTTAAAGATGGAATATTAGTCTGGATTGTTGTGTGGTCCTACATCCCTTTCTCTTTCCTCACTGTGGTTTTTGATTGCTTCGTAAATCCCACATGCTGTGCTGCACAGGGCATGCGATCCTCGCTGCAATGTCCAGAAAGCAGCCTGTGAGCTACATTCCTTTCTCCTTATCTCCTGCTCCAGCACTTAAGATGTGACTCCTGGGTCTTGAGCTGTGAGTGCACAAGAAGAGCTCCCAGGCAGCGAGGGCTGTAAACAACACAGCTAAAGGACTCCCTGCTTTCCAGGCTGACTGCAGCGAGGATGCTCTTTGCATCACACATGAGAGGTATTTACTGATAAACGTCAGCATTCAGGATCTGGGCCACCTTTCTCCTGGTTGCTGAGATGCAAACATGATGCTGCCAACATGAGACTGAATGACACATCGTGCCACCAGCCCAGGAAAAGAAAGGGAAAGTTTCAAAATCTGGAATATTGCGCACAGGCTGACTTCATCCAAACTGTGGAAAAAACCTCAAACCACCAAGAAGCTCTTACTGGTCTGAGTCAGGCACCCCGTGCTCTTAGCAAGCAAGCTGAAAGACTGATGGAGGTAAAAGTTGAGGAGCTGGGAGCTCAAATGTCTTTGCTCAGGGTTGCTGCAAAAAGGCTGCCCAATGCCTTGCTCTGAGAAGTGAGATCAGCATCGGTGATAAAGAGATTTAGAAAACATGACCTATGGGGAGAGGTGGGAGGGATTAGTGCTGTTTAGTCTAGGAGTGATGGAGGGGACAAAGAACTCAAGGCTTTGAAAATGAGGTCTGCCTTTTGGAGAGCGTCATGGGGAGCCAAAGTGTGCCCCAGTTCCCCTTCCTTTGTCATGCAGTGTGTGGAGGCAGGGCTGTGCAAAACCCTTTACCTTTGATCTTGCTCAAGAGAATCCCCCCATGGCAACTGTAGTTACTTCATATGTTTGCAAATGCTTGCTTCGAGTCTAGGAAATGCTTCCCGATTTTGGAATGTTTGGCAGTAGGACTTATTTCTCTTTCCTCCCCCCAGCCTGGCTGGGAAAGCCCCTCTTTTTGGTCAGTGACATAAGTGGTGTTTGCCTGTTGTTTATTGGCATCTGATTCAGGGGAAGAAACACGATGCAAGTTGCTGCAGTGGGATAAAGTGAGAGATGCTGGCTTCCCACACACCTAGCCCTGTCCCCAGCTCCCACCACGGCCCCGTGGCAGCTGCAGGTGCAGGTCTGCCTGGAGCCTGTTTGGACTGCTGGGTGGAATGGAGTGGAAAAGAGCATCCCTCCCAGCTGGGCTGTATCTCTGCAGCCTCGCCAAGGAATTCTTCCCTCTAAGAGACAGCTCAGGCGTGAATCCATGTGAGGCTCAGAACAAGAAAATCTGATCTGCCTCCCACATGCTCACAGCCTCTTGGCTGCTTTTCCAGCAGCCCTTCCTTGCTGTCCCACCAGCAAGGGACAGTGACAGCCCCGCAGTTGTGGTGGCTGGGAGCAGGGCAGCAGATGGATGGAGCTGGGGCTGCCCAAGGAACAGCAGCATCCTCTGCTCCTGCTGTGTCCCAGACCAGGAGATGCTGCATCCCTTCCCCAGGCCTCTCTGCCGCTGCCAGCATCTGGTCTTTGGGAGAGTCCTGTTGAGAGGCCTCAGACACGAGGAATGTGCGTAGCTTCTGCCAGTACAGCTGCAGGGAAGATGCTTTGCAGTGCACCACAGACAAAATCTCCTGGAGTTTGAAGAATTTGGAGCTTGCCTGTTTGTTTTAGGCTTTGAGGCGCTTTGCCATATCTCCTCCCATGCTTCATGCTGCAGTGAAGACCCCAGGAGCTGGGGAACAGGGAGCTGCATGTGAAGCAAGGGGATTTCACCCTCATGTGGAGCACGGGGTGCATCATGAGTAGGGCTAATCACCTCTTTCCTGATGTGACCTTTCATGGAGGCTGAGGGAGAAGGGCAGGTGGAGCACCTTTCTCTTTAATTATGGAATATCTAAGCTGACTCATGCCTTTACTTGAAGCTGTGGTTGCATTGGAGCAGGAGCAATCTCCCGTGGGCTGCCGGATTTCCCAGGGCTGGGCACAGCAAAGGGCAAGTGATGGCTGGGGCAGGGCACGCCTGCAAGCTGTGTGACAGGAGACGTGGGAGACAGTGGGGAAGGAGGGCACTGAATGGGCAGAAGTATAGCTGAGGGCCTTCTGCAGTCATAGGCTGAGCTGCAGCCTAAGGGAAAACAAAATCTTCCTCTACCAGGCAGCAAAATGGGAAATTGTCCATTTGGGCAATGAGAAATGCCCTCTGCAGTCACAGCCGTGCCACCGTGCCACACACATCTGTGCCCCAGTGGGAAGGATTTCTGACACAAGCAGCCCTCTCACTTTTAGGTGCCACCAGGAAATGACCCAGCACAGCAGTGCTGGAAAAACACAGTTGTAATGCTGTGGTGTAACTCAGCTGCTCAAATAAACAGTTCCCTGTGTGGGAAATGAGAGCAGCTTTTATCCCTTCTAAAGAACCTAAAGAAGGGTTGTTATTAAAGGCTTCTATTTTTAAGCACTTCTCTCAGGCACTTCCCATGAATTTTTCTTTCCTTCTTCCTGCTCCTCGTTCCTCCTCCAACGAAACCCTCCACCTTCCCACAGCTCCTGGGATCATTCTGACCTGATGGTGCATCTTCAACCCTTTCAGAGCCCAACCCTGACTCCTGTTAACCGTTCACCCGCAGAACGCAGTGCTTTCCACCAGCAGCATTGGCACAGGGCAGGTCCTTGGGCTGCGACCTCATGTGCTCGAGGCTTTGTGGCACAGCTGCGTTATGTTGCCCTCAGGACCTGCTCTTGTTCAGGCAACAGCTCCATCCTAGCAGGATGTGCTCCGTGTAGGAGGATCAGCAGCTGCCTTCTGCCCCAGTTAATGGGGCAGCTGAACACGGTCCTGGCAGCTGCACTGCCGCAGGCCAGAAGGTGCCGCCCTGCCACGGACGCGTCCAACAGCACGAGGCCCCTCAACGTGAGGCACCCCAGCAGCACCACGTCTGCCCTCTGTGCTGCTCTGCCCCCTCATTCCTATCCAGGTGGGTGCTGTGCCAGCCCCTCTGCAGGGCTGTACACCCAGCACATCCGATGCACGTGGGGCTGGGGCTGCTCCTAGGCTCACATCCGGACAACCCATCGTTCTCCATCTCCCCGTTTGCTGCTGGAGCAAACAGGAGAAGTCCTGGCTTGTCAGCAGCTGGTACTGAGCTTGTGCATAATTCCTGCTGCTCAGCAAGGTGTGCTGATCCCTGGGGAGGTGCAGAGGCAGATACAGAGAGAAGGCTGCTGGTGTCTGCTCTGTCCAGGGGGTGCCACCGCTGTTGCATTGCTGGGACAGCTGTCCTTGTGCAGCAGGACCTGAGCACGATCCTGGGCCGTAGCATTCCTGCTCTTTGCTCTGGTTTCTCTTGGAGCAAAGCGTGCTCATTTGGCAGTTAAAAAGCACTGCAGAACAAAGTCAGTCCTACAGGTAGCAATGCTTTGATGGATTCTTTTGCAAGGAGCAAACCATCCTACTCTGCTCATGGGCTTATTTTGTGGCTGGAAACAACTATTTTAGTCCAAACCAGAAAGAACTGCTCACATACCCAGAATATTCATTTTCCAGTCGATGTCTGAAAGTATCCATTTGCTTGAAATAGATCTTTTTGTGTGCGTAAAGGAACTGAGTCCCCAGTCCAGCCCTTGTAAGCTCAGAGAGCTCTCTGCCAGCGCTGGGGCCGCGCAAGGGAAGGAGGAGTTAAAGGTTTGCAGTGCAGGAGCAGCCAAGCTCCGACCTTCCTTGCAGGCGTAGATCCTCTCACTCTTCCCTTCTGATGGCTGGGAAATCCAGCTCCAAACTCAGATGCCCCTTTTTAGGCTAGAATCAGCCTGCACCCAGCTCCCCTGATTCGCGTTTTGGGAGAAAAGCAAGCGGAGCTGCCCCAGGGACGGGTTGGTCTGTATTTCCCTCTGCAGGTTGGGGGCTTTGGGGTTCTCCTTTTGGGTTTTGGGATCCTCTGTGGCTTTGGGACCCTCCCAGGGACAATCCAGTCTGGTGGGCAATGTGGGTAGCTGGAAAGAGGGTCAGATCTGTCCCTGTCCCCTTGGCAGGTGGTGCCGAGGGGAGGGCTGGCTGCCTGTGCAAAGTGCTCAGTCCTTGTGGGGCGGGACTGGGAGCACTGCCACGCAGGGCTGTGGGACTGGGACGGAGCTGGGCTGGGTGCAGCAGAGGTAGGTACCTTCTTTCTCCCGTCTCCTCCTCCCTGGGGCTGCCGATGAGCAAGGAATGCTCTGTGAAGCTCTGGGCATGAGCAGAAGGGGAGATCTGTGGGGTGTTGTAGGGCAGGCTGATGTACTGAAGGAGCTGGATCCCAGCTCAGAGCATCCAAGGCACACAGTGGGGTCCGGGTACCACTTGCCAGTAGCTCAACTCTGTTTCGCTGGCGGATGACCCTGTGGGGGCAGTGGGGCTGGGGGCTGACAGCTGAAGCATTGCCTTCCTGTCCCCCCCTGCAGGGCCAAGGCAGGAGCTCCCACAATGATGGGGAACACCGTGTTCCTGTCATTCACCTTCTACAGCACGATCCTGATTCTAAAGATGTATGTCGTTGCCATCATCACGGGACAAGTGAGGCTCAGGAAGAAGGTATGTCCCAGCTTCCTTTCCCTCCCTCGCCCCTCCTGCCTTTTGCTGGGGTTTCTGCTTGGATTTACTACAAACCCTTTCTTCTTTTCATCCTGCAAAAGCCAACAGGGTTTTGCAGAAGCAAGCTGAGTTTTCTTTGACTTCAGTTGAAAGCAAAACAGGTTTTCTAGCTGTGGCAGATAGCCATCTCGTTTCTCTTTGGCTCTTTCTGTTTGCTTCCACCATCTGCAGCCTGATGTTTATCATTTCTGAATCCTAATCTAAATAGTAATTTCAGATGCAAAATACCATGCAGGTGAGCTGCTGCTCTGTTTACATTCATTTGCCATGTCTGAGAGAAAAGAAAGAGAAAAGTTTAAGGACAAATGATTGAAATGCCAGAAAAATTCTTTCAATGTGGCAGCAGGCTTCTGTCCTGCAGGAGAGCGAAGTCACAGGGAGCAGAAACAATAGCTGGAGGAAATGGCTCTTGGACATGGGGACAGCAGCAGGGATTGAGGCACAGCTCAGACCTGCAGAAAAAAACCTGGAAGTATTTGAGGCGTTTCTGAATGCACCAGCAGAGAGGGAGGGAGATGGTTCTGCTCCCAGGCCAAAGGCAGAAGCGGGTTCTCCTGCATCGTGGCGTTGCTGGAGCTGGGGATGTGGATCCCATTCTTCCCAGGGAAAGCAGTAGTGCCAAGGAACTAGCCAGGGGATTTTCTGCCTCAGTAGGGCAAAGCCATCCATCATTTGCTGTTATCTTTTGGCTGCTGCCTTTGGTGTCTGCAAGCTCTGTGCAGGAGGCTGGCAAAGTCTCCCAATGGATTTCATGGAGAGAAACGCCTGCGCCGAAGGCACCCGGGAGATACCTGATGTACTGAGATCTGCTCCATTCATTACTTTTTTCCTGCTCCATTCTTTTTTTTTTTTTTAACCTCCCCTTTTGAAAACTGCATGAAAATAACCCCCAAAGCCCTCCCAGAGATATCAGGAGCTGCATCCTTGACAGTTCTGCATGGGGACACTCTTTTGCAGGCGTTTGCTAACCCAGAGGATGCGCTGCGCAATGGAGGGCTGCAGTACTACCGCGAGGACCCTGATGTGGAGCGCTGCCGCAGGTGAGTACAGAGCCAGCATCCCGCCCCAAAAGGGCAGCAGGAAGCTGGAAGGCTCATTAATGAGCTAATTGCACAGCTAGGTGGAATGCCCTGAGGTCCGAGGCGGGACCCTGTGAACCAGGGTAGCTCAATCATTAATGGAAGGATTGGGGCTTGGGGGTCAATGGGTGCAATGAGACTGAGTCCTCAGTGTTGAATTTGGGGTGACCCAGCTCTGTGCTTGCCTTCAGTTCCCTGCAGGAGGTGGCTGGGCACTGGCCCAGGCACTGCATGGGCTGGTTCTGCACAGGAAGGGAGGCTGGAGCCGTGCCGAGCCCTGCTGCCAGCTCTGCTTCACCAAACATCCCGTAGCACCAAGCCACAGGCTGCCAGGGAGAGGAGGAGGAGATAGATGAGCTGTTCCTTTGCTAAGGAAAATGAAATAGTAGTGATAATAATGATCACCCTCTTTCGATGAGTCAGAAAGGACCAGCTTCCATAAAAATAAATAACCAGAGCTGCAGTGGCGGCGGTGTACAGAAGTCTGGGGTTTGTGCAATGAGCACATGCCAGGTCAGACCTTGCTAATGTGTTTGTAGCCATGGAGAGGGCAAATCACCCTCAAGGTCGGTGCGTGAACAGGAGGTATCAGGGGGCTGGGGGCTGTGTGGAGCCTCGCACAGATGGAGGAGAAGGGTCTCACAGCACAGCTCATCTTTCATTTCCCAAGTCTGGCCCCACTCGCTTGCAGGGGGGCTCGGAGCCCTTCGGGAGCTACGCTCACCCCATCAGCAGGCTGGAAGCCAGGTGGGAAGGAGCAACCTGTTTCTCTTCACAGGGCACATCGCAACGACATGGAGAACATCTTCCCCTTCCTCTTCCTCGGAGCTGTGTACTCTCTGCTGGAGCCCAGTCCTGCAGTGGCCAGGATCCACTTCTTCATCTTCTGTGCGGGACGCATCGTGCACACCGTGGCCTACCTGCTGAAGCTGAGGGCTCCCACACGATCCGTGGCATACAGCGTGGCACAGCTGCCCTGCTTCTCCATGGCCCTGCAGATCCTCCTGGCAGCTGCCCCGTATTGGTAGCACCCAACCGAGCAGAGCACCCAAGCCCCCATTCTGCTCTGTTCAGCTGTGCCAGTACTGAGACGTTCCTGGTGGGGGCGTGAGTGGGTGCTGCAGGGATGTGTGGGGTGGCCTCGTAAGGTCACTGGGCCTGCTGTTGAAATTGGGGCAGGGGAAGCGGGCAGGGGATGCCTAGCAGCTTTCCCTCATTCCTGTCCTCGAGGAAGGGGTGTCATCAGAGGAAAAGACATTTTCTGCAACAGTGACCCAGCATGGGATGGGGAATGCTGCCCTTGATCAGCAGCAGAATCAGGAGGGAGAAACCACCACGGTCTCACAGCTCTGCGAGAACTCTTGGTTGGTGGATGTGGGTGTTTGCAGGGAGGGAGACAAGCTTTCGATCCGGTCCCAGCCTCAACACGGGATGCAGCAGGGACTGCCAGAGCAGCCCGCAGAAATCACTGCCCTGCAGAGAGCTGTGTGCCTGCAGCCATGTGCTGCCGCTGCCTGGAAATGCTCTGAGAGATGCTTTCAATTTGCACCCCAAGCTGTGCCCTGGGAGGAGGGCTCTGCTGTTCTTCTGTGCTGCGTGAGGATGGCCAACCCTACTGTGCCACACAGCTGTCCTTAGGGATGATGCTGGGGCAGCCCCATGGAGGGCAGGGCAGGAGGAAGGCTCTGAGGACAATGCAAAGCTTTGCTAAGACTGCAGTGAGAAAGCAGAGTGAGCAGAAAATAAAATCCTGTCTTAAGCACTAAAGCTCTTCCCTTTGCTGTGCTCTCCTCTGGGATCCTCTCACCAAGACCCCACTGAGTATCAGTGGGAAGCAGGGCAGCTCAGGTAGATGCTCAGAACTTCACCCAGCTCACAGAGGGCTCCCAGCCCAGCAGTGGCCATGGCCTTGGGCTGAGTTCTTTGGGAAATTTGGAGCACAGCACTCTGCTCTCCTGGGTGCAGCATGAGGGCTGCAGGTCCCACAGTTTGCTCTTGGTCCCCTCTTGCTCACACAGCCCCAGCTCAGCAGATGTCTTCATAATACCCCTTTCAGTGAGCCCATGCTGCCTCACACGGTGCACAAGGTCTCCAAACCCCTGCACGTTTCCCTCCTGCTGCATGTGCATCCTGGTGGCAGGAAGCAAGTATTCCCAATAAAAACAAATCATTGTGCTCTGCTACATCCTTCCTTCGAGAGCTGCCGATGCAGCTGGGCAGCAGCTGGGGCCGGGTCCAGCTGCAGGGAGCTGAGCCTCGCAGGGCCAGGAGCGTCCTGGGGCTTCTGGAGAGCTGAGCACCCTTCCCCCAGCCCACCTGCAGCTCTTGGCATTATCAGGGCCAATCCTTTAAATGCAGAGAAGCTGGGGCTCGTAGTGTAGCCATGCTTGGTTCTCCTGCCTTGAGCAGCCCAAAGTTTGGTGTGTGCCCAGCTCTCCTCCAAGCAGGCTTTTGCTATAAGATGCTTTTTCCAAGCAAGCTGTCTCTGTGCCCTGCCTGCACTTCTTCCCAATGGAGAAGCTTAAATCCTGGAGGGCTGGAGCTGTTCAGCTAAGGTGTGGTTGCTCTCCTTTCTGTGCTTACAGCTTCCAAAGGAGCTGCCTGTGTTTTCCATGCTCAGCAGTCCCTTCCTTCTCTAGGAAGCCAACACCTTGCTTCCTTGGTTTCCTCCTATTTTCTTCAGCTGTTGGTGTTTGGGAGGTGCTGCCTTTCTGTGTCTGCATCCGCATTAATGGCTGAGATGGACAAAATGGTCCCACGTGACAGATTTTTTTCCCCTCACTACTTCTTGTTTTCCACTAAGAAAGGCGGTGCTTTATAAGATGGACTCCATCCAGTCCGTGCTGCTGTGTGTAGGGATGTAGCTGTGGGGATTGGGGCTTTGGGGTGGGAAGGAAAATCTAAGAGCCCCCTCTAACCCCTATCCAATGCCTGGGGGTGATGCCCTGCTCAGGGAAGCTGAGGTTATTTGCAGAGCTCTGCTTACTTCTTTCTTTATTAAAAAAAAATAAACCCTGCTGTACTGGCTGCAGGGGGAAAAGCTTGGGAATGTGAACTCTAATGCCTTCAAAAAAACAAATAGAAAAGGCCCACGAGGCAAATTTCAAAGAGGCACAGCCACTGAGCCTATTTTGAAATGCTGGGAGCTGATGGGAGCGTGGATGGAGCCCAACTCGTCCCCGCATGGCCAGAACTGGAGCTGGGACTGCACTGCTGCGGTGCATCAACATGAGGAGCAGACTTGTGCCCTGCTTTATTCCTAAGGGCATGTCAGGCTGCTGTCCCCCGAAGCAGGATGGTGTCCCCAGTGTCCCCTGCAGCTCTCAGAGGGAGGCACTGGTGGCTGTACCCACGAGTGCTTGAGCTGTGCCAACCATTTGTTTCTCACACCTGGCTTACAGCTGAAACGGTAATGCAGCAAAACCCACCTGGGATCGCACGTCTGCCAAGTTCGGTGCTTAAAGATTTGGGTGTGATTCACTCCGCCAGCGTGTCTTCCTCTCCAACGACACCGAACCCGAGGAATCTGAAGGTGGGATGGGGGAAGCAAGTGCGGACCCAGCGACACATCCCTGCCCTTCCTGCACCTTCCGGACACCTCAGCCCAGGTCACCTCTAACCTCAGGCTCTGCTCTTACTCCTCCTCACGGTGGGGCTTCGCCATGCAAATCCCCTTGAGGAAATGCTGTTCTTGCGTCTTGCAGTCAGACCCACGACACGCCGCCCCACGGGTGCAGGAATGCCGGCGGCACCAACCGCGTCCCCAGCCCCGCGTCCAGCCTGGGGACAGCGCTGAGCAACGCGGAGCCGCAGCGCCCCCGTGTGGCCGTGCGACGCACAGCCCGGGGACAGCGCTGTGCCGGGGGGACGGCGGGGGTTTGGGGTCTGGGCGGCTCCGACCTGGGGACGGGGAAGCCGTGGGGTGGCTTTTTGGGGGGGGTTTAGAAAGAAGCTGTGGGTAACCTGGCTGGGATACGTGGTTTTTTTTGGTCAGTAGGGAAAACTCAGGCAGTACAGGGCTGCAGGATCTGGGACAAAGGGAGAGAGGTCCTTCATCAGCTGAGAGCTCATCTGGGAGTCAGCTGGATGCAAAGCAGCTGCTGCAGGGGAGTAAATGCAATCTGCAACCAACGTTCTTGCAGCCTTCCAACGAAAGCAATGGTGTGTGGATGGAGACCAGAAAGCAGAAGGAGGAGAAGTGAGTCTGTGCTGGATGATGGAGAGGTGGCAAATCCATCCCTGTGATCTACTGAGTCGGAAGGGACACTTAGAAGTCTTCTGGTTCAGCTCCCTGCAGTGAACAGGGACACCCACAGCTCCATCAGGTGCTCACAGCTCTGTTCAGCTCTGACCCTGGGTGTCTCATTGCAGGGAGTCAGGCTGTGGTTCTCCCTGCTCCTGTCTCCCAGGAGCCCTCAGACCATGGGTTAGGACCTCCTGCTCTAACAGGAGCTGAAATGGAGCTGGGATGGCACAGGCAAGAAATAAATGACATATTTCTAGCAGCAAATAGTCATGAGTCAACGGAGAATCTGCCCTGGGAGCAGCAGTAAGATCTTCACCTCAAAGGGTCTTCTGCAGTTAGATCCAGGCCATGTTTTGCTGCCACAGTCCCACCCACCATTAACTTCTTGGCCCTCTCCAAATCCATTTTACACCTTTGACCGCTGCAGCATCTTGAGGTGATGGATTTCAGGCCATAGCTGTGCTGTGGCTTTCCATGACAGCTGTGAGGACACTTTCTAACCTTTTCCTGGGCACTCCTAACACTTGTTTGCTCATTTTGATCTCTGTTAACCTGATGCTCCTGTGCAATAGCATCAGGTTCCATAAGCACCTCTTGCATTTTTCCTGCCACTTCATAGCTCAGATCCTGCAGCTCATTCCTATGTGGCTCATTCATATGTTCCTGCCCTTCTGGTCCATGTTAGCTAGCAGGCTGCAGAACCTGACTCACTGTGGTGCTGCCCACCTCGGTGCAAAGGATGGAGCCTGGAAGAGCTGCACTTGGTGCTGATGTGAGCTCCTGGCACTGGCGATGCTCAGCCCTCGCTGAGTCCATGCTCTGAGTGCAGTGTGCCATGAGAGACCACCTCCTCTGAGCACGTCTACATCTCCTTTCTGTATCTCCTGCCTGGTTCTCAAGGCTGGGCCACATGCTGGTCTCTGCTGTGACTGCAGATGATTGCGCATCCCAGCAGGACTTCTGCAGCAGATGCTTGCCCATGATTGAGCACTACTGAGTGCTCAAAGGCTTTCACCCATATTTGTGCTGCAGGATGGAAACTGACAACTTAGCAGTGAGGAGCTCTGCCCCTGGCCCCATCCCTCCTCAGCCCACTGCCACAGTGCTGGAGGAGATGTTGTTCTGATAGCATGGATGCCCAGTGCTGCTTTGGGGGGATCTCCTGGCTGTGGGGGTTCAGCACTTCCAGCCCCTGTGCCCAGCAGTAGGACTGGGATGTGGGACCGAGTTTCCCTGCCTCCTATGGGGCCCCAACGTTACCCCCCCTCCCCAATGGTGTGAGCACTGCTCTGCATGCACAGACACATCTCTACTCAGTAAAATATTTATTCCTCCATTATTTCACAAGAGTTGTTTTTACAAAACAAAAAACAAAACAAAACCAAAAAAACCTTTACAAAAAAATTCCAAAAAAATACAGACATGCAAAAAAAAAAAATAATAATAATAATCAAAAGTCGACTGTGGATCTTGTAACAAGCCATTGCAATGTACAGATAGAAAAGGGAGAGAGCTCAGATGACATGACCACGATCCCTGATTTCCCTCTCGGTGAGGCTGTGATGCTGAGTGATGCTCCGCCTTAAGCAGCCAAGAGCGTGGCGAGGGAGGGGCCCAAAGATTAGGAACGCATGTTTTCAAATATATATATACATATAGATATTTAGTGAAGAAATATTTATTCCCTGCTTTTTTTAGGTTTACAGAAACGGCATCTGCAAACTATTAAATGGGTTTATTTTCATTAATGCTCTCAAAGAGGCAGCGACATTTATATCCCTGTGGTTTCGTCTTGTATAACCAAAAAAAAAAAGAAGAGCCCTATGCTTTCCATGGGAATGGGACCCCCCGGCCCAGTGCCGTTCCTTGGGGTGGGGGCTTTGCTCTACAGGGGCTCCTCTGCCCACATGGCAGTGCTCAGCGCTGTGGGATCCCCATGAAGTCTCACTGCAGCACTCTGAGGAGCTCTGCCCTCCCCGCTTGGCACATCCAGGGGACACCATGGCCATCAAGGACCAGATGTGGTTTTCCTTGGTAAGAAAGGGAGAGAAAGCTCCTGTGGGCAGGATGTGGGGGCTCTTGGGTTGTATACAAAGTGGTTTGGGTGCTTTTGGCCTGGCATCGCATACTGATGGGTGTTGATCTCGATGGCTGTCGTGGCCATCCTTGGGTCCAATGCTACATTCACTTGTTATTGGCCCCACCATGCTGGCTGGACAAAGCCCTCCTAGAATAGGTTTGGTTGGCTGCTTGGCTGCTGCTCCTTGCAGTGGGTGAGGGAGGAGCACTCCACTGGCTTTGTCCATGGGGTCAATCCCCTATTGCCCCAGCGCCGGCTCATCCCACGTTGCTGCAGGGAAGTTTTCTGCCCACCCTGTAATTGAGAGCCCCTTCACCGGGCTGTGTGGTGTGGTGGGGAATACAGTTTCCTTTATTCAGAAACATAGAAAACACCCCATGGAGCCTCCAGCCCCTCATTCTGTGGCCCATCTGCAGAGCGGCCGCTGGGGATGCTGTGCCTCCGGAAGACGAAGCCTGCTCTGCCCTTGGCACGAAGCACTGGGAGCCGCCTACTCAGCTGAAACCAACAGCTTTTTCCAATTTTCTCTTTCCCTGGGCTGGTTCAATGACCTGGGGCTCTGCAGAACTGCTGGCAAACCCGCAGATGTGGGGTGGTGGTGCCTGGATGGGGCGCGGCGATGTGTTCCCCCCCCAGTTTACGGCACCAGGACGCAGCTGTTGGCTTTCAATGGTCCCACTGAGCCCCGTGGCTGGCAGTGCATGAGGAGGTGAAGGGCCAGCATAAAGGGGGGCTCAAAAAATTGGCATCGTGCAGCATCGCGATCATCCCAGCGCTGCGTGCCCTCCCTGTGGGAGGAGAAGACCCAATAACTCTTTGGCTCTCCAGGCAAGATACCCAAATTGGTCAA